AATGAATGTTGTTCAATATTTAAATCTTTTTTGAAGCAAAGAATACAAATTCACTAAATGAATCATATGTAGTAATTCCTGGACGTCATGCATTATTTGATGATTCATATCAAATTTTAGAACCTTTATTCAAAAAATATCTTCAAGATGAACAAATTCTTGAAAGTTCTGAAAGACGTTCTCGTTTTATTAGACTTATTCCAACTTCAAAACAATCTCAATGTGAAGAAAAAGAAGATTTAACATGGGATTATGTAAAAAGAATTCTTGTTTGTTATTTCTCTTCTTTATTTCTTTATTTTCTGTAATACTTATTTACATAAATTAGAATGATGATCCTAAAGCATTACAAAGAATTGTTTTTACTTATCTTTATCCTAGACTTGACATTAATGTTTCTATGAAAAGAAATCACTTACTTAAAGCTCCTTTTTGTATTCATCCTGCTACTGGAAATATTTGTGTTCCAATACCATTTAATAAAATAATAGACTTTGATGTTACAAGAGTTCCTACATTAATTTCTGTTCAAGAGGAACAAGAAAATAAAATAGAAATAATTCAAAATAATAAAATGGAAGAAGAAGGTTCTTGTAATGATAGTTATAATGAAATGGACCAAAAACAAAAATATTCATACAAAGAATTTGTACAATTCTTTGATTCATTTGTGAATGATCTAAAACAATAAATTTTTTTTTTGGTTGTTTGAGTTATTTTTCTATATTATTATTATTGTTCATGAATAAAGCGTTTCTTATTTTTTTATTAGTTATTATATTCTACTAATGAAATAATACAATGAAATGTTTTCTGTTATGAAAAGATAAACAAAATGAAGAGAAATTCATACACATTTTTTGCTAGATAGAGTATGATTGTAAAAAAAAGTATTGTTTCCTTTAGAACTGATACTTAAAAAAAAAGTGATTGTTTAATAAAATAAAAGAGGAAATAATACAGTAAATACAATGTATATAGTTTAAAAATCGATTAATGGTGAATATAAATTTGTTGGGGAAACAACAATTGGTTGGTCAAGAACTTCACAATAGTGTTGAACAAGTGCTTCATATCGATTTCTAAACCAAATCTCATTTGTCCAAATAGAGATAGGTTTAAGGTCTTTTGTTTTTATTAACGTTCCTCCAAAAGATCTAAAACTTCTATATGGATAATCAGGAATAAATCCAGTTAATTGTGTAAACACTTTGTTTTTTATTCGTTCTTTTTTAGTCATGTAGACCTGGAATGCACATGCATCAGGAATTTTAGCTTCTGATGCTGTAAGAAAATTGTATAATTTAGTTGCAAATTCATCATCTAACTTAACTCCAATTGGTGGAATGAAAATTAAATCAGCCTTACTGTAATCACCTGACTTTTTACCCATATCATGATAAATTTCAGACACACAAATATCCTCTTTGTATTGGTCAAGATGGATATTCTTTTT